CGAATCTAGGGACCACGGAGAAAACCCTAGCAGAGACGGCGATTGACATGGAGATTTCTGGCCGCCTGCCTTTCTGATCACGATCTCACGACGACGACCATCACCTCATTCCCCACGCCGCAAGGGAGACTAGCATACACTCCTTGTTGGTCCGCAGTGTATCTGGCTGGAGTTAGGTTTTCTTCCCGTCGCGTACTCAACACGTATCTCTGGGTATAGATCTGTTCGAAGGTGTTTTGTTCGAAGGTTTTAGGTCGTCGATTTTAATTACACAGTCGGAGTGTTCTTTGACACTTCGGTTCTGCTGTAATCCCGGATCACGTTTCGACAACGCCCTTGATAGTTTCTTTGATCTCGTTGATACATCCCTTGATGCTCTCAACCTAACACTAATCAATTACCCTCGCCTCTGTGTTGTCTTCGACAGCAATGGGTTCGACATATCGACCTCAGTCTGCTCATCTGGCAGATGTGAAAGGAAAGGGTATTCTTTATGAAGACGATGATGATCCCATCAAACTGTCCGTCGATGATGATGCGAACGTTATCAAGGAGTTTCGTCTTCCTCTAATTGGAAAGATTTTAAACACAAAAAATAATAGGTGGAAAAGCTATTACAAACTATGCCTGCCCAATGGGGTATGGAGGATAAGCTTATTGCCAATGATTTAGGCAATAGAAAGTTTCTTTTGAACTTTCAGACGGAAGAAGATCTCAACTTTGTTCTTCGACAAGGCCCTTTTCACTACAATTTTTGTATGTTCGTCTTGGTCCGGTGGGAGCCAATTGTGCACGGCGACTACCCTTGGATTATCCCCTTTTGGGTCCGTATGATTGGTATCCCTTTTCACCTCTGGACAGACAAGAATCTGTGAAAGATAGGAGGAAGGCTTGGACATGTGGATACTATTGAGTTATCTGAAGGGAGAATGCTTATTGAAATTGATTCTCACAGGCCTTTGAAATTTACCAGGAAGGTGGAATCAGCGGAGGGTGATGCTGTTACGATTAAAATTGAGTATGACTTTCTCTTCAAACATTTCACTACATGTGGCATGCTTTCTCATGAGAAGAATTACTGTCCAACAAGTGACATTCCCTCACGTCTTCAAGCTCCACCGGAACAGGCTGATGTGTTCTCTAGAGTCCAACCTACGCAGGATAGCACACATGCCAGTGCTTCCAGGCCACGATCACACCAGCAAGACTCCAAACATTCTTTGATGTTTAGAGCAAATCACCATGGCAATGCTCACTCTGACCAGCAACGATCACTCCCAGTGAGTAATCACAGGATTACAAAGGACGATTATGTTCAAAATGAATGGACAGGCAACCGTTACAGCTCTCATACGGGTAGATTAATGCGTCCACGTGATGACAGGCGCAGCCATCGCCATGACAACACCCGACAGAGACTTCCTTACAAAAGGAATGGTGATAAGCATTGGAGGGAGAAGCCAGGCCGTGAGGAAGGCGTGGAGGCGAGGTCAGTGAGGAAGGATAAAGTGAGATCAAACTCTATCGCAAGTCGTGAGGAAGACGTGGAAGTGAGGGCAGAGAGGAATGATAAAGAGAGACCGGAATCTCTACCAAATCACGAGATTGTTCCTTACGAACAATCTGCTACTTCTGTTACTTCAGGAGTTCGGCGTACTGACGTCTCTATTATAGCTCAGGATAGTGTCTCTGGCCAAAAGGATCAACCAATATGAGGCGTCTTGCGAGTATGATAGTTTCTCCTACGGGAACATCACATGTGAATGATGCGAATGTCACAATTAGAGATAGAGGAGTAACTAGATCCCTTACTTTTCATCCAAAGAGTCTTCAAGTGGAAGTTAATTGTTTGGAGAATGATCAGATGATAGGGGCATTGAATGATATGGAGAATGACATGGAGATTGTGAAGCAGGCTGAAGATGGGATGCTAGATTGTCAAGATCAAGATTGTGATCTTTTGGGGGAAGAACTAAAGGAATGGGAGGAGTCATAAGTGAGACCAGCGACAAAGAGTTCAACATCTCGTCGAAGTGCATCTAAACCACCAAGGATGAATGCTCCATTGGGCATTCAAAGTAAGAAATCGGAGTTCCTCCGTCGGGGATCACCACGAACCAAGGCTGCGATGTCCCCTGGACCAAAAGATACTGGGAGAATTTCCAACCGACGTAATGATGGGAGGATTAGAGGTCATGGTACAACCAAAAGTGCTGGGTTGATGGGATCCAAATTCCCATCAAAGGTTCATCCATGAGGACAATCAGTTGGAACTGTCGAGGGATTGGAAGCGACCTCACAATTCGACGTCTTACGGAGATGTGTCAGAAGCATCGCCCATGACTTGTGTTTCTATCTGAGACGAAGAATAGGAGGCTGCTGTTGCAAGACATTCAGGCCGACTTAGGATTTGATCGTTTATTTACTGTTGAGCCACTTGGACTCAGCGGAGGTTTAGCTTTATTTTTATGGATGAATTTCAAGTCAATGTACTTTTTTCAAATAACAGGATGATTGACATTGAGGCAGTCATTGATGGAATAAAAGTCTACATGACATTTGTTTATGGGGATCCTGTTCTAGAAAGAAGAGATTTAGTTTGGGAGCGTCTTACGCGTTTCTCAACAACAAGAAATGGACCCTGGTTCATGATAGGAGATTTTAATGAAATTACCTGTCATGCAGAGAAGGAAGGAGGCAGACCATGCCCTGATAGTTCCTTTCTGCCCTTTAGGCAAATGCTAAGTGATTGTGGTATGATGGAGTTCCCTTTCACAGGAAACATGCTATCTTGGCTAGGAAATAGGGCAGGGAGGACGACAGTTAGATGCTGCCTTGATAGGGCTGTTGGGAACGAGGACTGGCATGAGAAATTCCCTCATTCCAAAGTGAAGCATATAAGACTCTGGGGATCAGATCATCGTCCGATACTCGCTGTTATTCTAAAAAAGAAACCTAGAAGAACAAGAAACTTCAAATTTGATAAGAGATGGTTGGATAACGATGAGCTCAGGCAAATTATACTTGAGGGATGGAAGTCATCTGACCTCTCACCGGACGCAAATATAATGGAGCATATTGCTAGTTGCCGGCAAGCATTAAGTGAATGGAAGAAGCAGCATAATCTGAATTCAGAGAAAACAGTGGAGGAACTTAAGGAAAAGGTAGATCGTTTATCTTCAAACGATGATGCTACTACTGAGGAGATCGCGGCAGCTATTAAGGAACTATCCGACGCTCTTAAGGCGGAGAAGATGTTCTGGAAGTAGAAGTGTAGGGTTTTCTGGCTGAGAGAGGGGGACATGAATACTAAATTCTTTCACGCCCTTACGAAGCAAAGGAGAGCAAGGAATAGGATTACCCAATTACTGGACGAAGATGGAAATGTTGTGGAGGATGAGGAAGGATTGGTAGCCATTGCTACAAATTACTTTAGACATATCTTTCAATCATCAAATCCCGAGGAAGTAGAGGAAGCACTCTCTGAAGTATCGACCACGATTACATTATCAGACAATGAGACTTTAGCAGGCCCGGTCACTGAATGGGAGGTTAAACTGGCTCTTTTTGCAATGCACCCAGAGAAAGCCCCAGGACCAGATGGAATGACGGCGCTGTTTTACCAGAAATTCTGGGATATTGTGAAAGATGATTTAACTCTTATGGTTAATCAATTTCTATCTGAGGGAACGGTGCCATTTGGACTAAATGATACCAACATATGTCTCATTCCAAAAGTGGATAAGCTAAATCAGATGAGTCAGTTACGCCCTATTAGCTTATGCAATGTTAGTTACAAGATTACCTCTAAGGTCTTATGCCAGAGATTAAAAAAGTTTCTACCAGACAGAATTTCAGAGACCCAGTCAGTCTTTGTTGCTGGGACACAGATATCTGATAACATTATGATAGCTCAAGAGTTGTTCCATGCTTTAAGAACAAAGCCGAGTGGTCGAAATAAGAGGATGGCTATCAAAATAGATATGAGCAAAGCATATGATAGGATGGAATGGTCTTTCATTGAGGCCACCATGCGAAAAATGGGCTTTTCTGAAGTCTGGATATCTATGATAATGAGATGTGTAACATCAGTTAAGTACAAGGTCCTCATGAATGGACAGCCAAAAGGGAATATTGTTCCGGAGAGAGGTATACGACAAGGGGATCATTTGTCTCCTTTCATTTTTATTCTATGCACGGAAGTGCTCGTTAGCCTTCTAAATCACGCAGAGAATCAGGGAAAGATAGTCTGTTTTTCTGTAAGGCGGAGCCCCGTGAATGTGAAGAAGGAATGAAAGTGGTCAAGGTATATGGACAAGCTTCAGGACAATGCATACATTTTGATAAATCTTCTTTACTCTTTGGTAAAAGAATCGGCCAGGATGTGAGACAAGAGATCAAAGATACACTTGGGATCTAAAATGAAGGAGGAATGGGGTCATACTTAGGTATACCAGAGGATATCAGTGGGTCTAAATGTAAGCTTTTTGCCTTCCTTAAGGATAAGCTGAGAAGTAGAGTGAATAGATGGACTGGCAGATGGCTATCTAAAGGTGGGAAAGAAGATATGATAAAATCAATCATGCTTGCTCTTCCGACGTATGTAATGTCTTGTTTCCTTCTCCCATTAAAGATTTGTGAGAATTTAGCTAGTGCCATTGCACAGTTCTGGTGGAGCTCAAATCCGCCAAAAAGGGGTATTCACTGGTCAACATGGGATAAATTATGCTTACCCAGAGAAGAAGGCGGGATTGGCTTTAGGATGACCCATGAGTTTAATCTTGTGTTACTAGCAAAGCAACTATGGCGACTGGTGCAGAACCCTGACTCCCTGGTAGCTCGTGTTTTGAGAGGTCGGTATTACAGATTGAGTACGCCTTTGCGTCAAATCAATGTTAGCAGCCCTTCATATGTGTGGACAAGTATATCCGCCGGAAGAGAATTGTTATTATTAAGAATTAGACAAAAAGTCCACTCGGGTTATGAAGTTAAAGCTTGGGAAGATCCTTGGATTCTTACTATACCTGCGAGACCGGTAACACCATTGGCACCGGTTCTGCATCCGAATATGCGAGTGAGCGATTTGATAGATCAAACATCGAAGACGTGGGACGACAACCGACTTAACGATTATATTGAAGCAGTGGATATACCACTTATCAAGAGTATGGCCATTAGCTCTACGCATCGAGGGGACACGTACTGTTGGAGCTATACGAGGACTGGACAGTATACAGTCAAATATGGATACTGGGTTGCACGAAATATCTTGAGGAAGGAAGATGAATTTGCAGTATGTGAGCCTAGCATCATAAAACTCCAAACACATGCTTGGAAGGTCAGGGCTCCCCAAAAGATGTGCCATCTTATGGGGCAGTTGATAACATGACATGTAGCTGTTACGAGCATTTTAAACTACATACATATGAGATGTGACAACCACTATCCTCGTTGTGGGGAACCCGAGGAAACGATCACACATGCAATTTTTGAATGCCCACCTGCATTACAAATTTGGGCGCTATCATCTACGCCTACCAATCCCGCTTTGTTTCTAGTATCGAGCACGTATGGAATATGGACTATCTATTCTTGAGGAAGAATGCAATAATGGAACCGGAATTGGACAGGGATCCTTATCCTTGGTTAATCTGGTACATTTGGAAGGCTAGAAATGATAAACTATTTAGAGGCATTGATAAGGATCCATTGGAGGTAGCACGCTATGCTGAAAGTGAATGCCAAGCATTGTTCCAAGCAAATGAGAAGGATATACCGGCCTCCCTTGGAAACGGAAAAGATGAAGACCAGACTTTAAGTTTGGGTAACATTTGCATGGTAGATGGATCCTGGACTTCTACGGATTCCTTCAGTGGATGTGGATGGGTGTTGAATGATAATTCCGGAAATAGTCAGTTAATGGGGCTTCGTAATTTTGATCGAGTGGAATCGGTGTTGCATTCAGAATTGGAAGAACTGCGGTGGGCAATGGAGAACATGCTTTAACATTCGCCATGTCAGAGCTTTGGAACTAATTGTAAGGAGATGATCGAGATGCTCAAGAACCCTCATGCTTGGCCTAGTTTCTCAACGAAACTGGAAAAATTGTCGACACTGAAGATCTGTTTTCCCGACTTTAAGATTATTTATGTTCCTAGATTACAGAACGACGCTTCTGATTCTCTAGCTAAGGTTGCCAGGTCTTTTTATCGTAAACTTTTATATGTTGGTTGTTTTATTCCGGTTTGGTTACCCAGACTACCTCAAGTTGATTGAATAATAGACCAGCCGTTTGATGTAAACAAAAAAAAAAAATCTTTTCGAATCTACATTGTCAAATACATGAATCCACGTGTAACGTTTACGACCCCAAAACCTCCTCCGACTAATAACCAATCAGTTTTTTTTTTTTGCTCAAAAAAAGAACGCGTCACAGGATTATTTATTTATTTTTTCGAATAAAGAAAAGAAAAGTTGTTGATCTATTCTTGTTCTTGACTTGTTCTCTTGTCGACAAAAAAAAATAGACTTGTTCTCTTTCTAGCGCAATACGTATACAATAGGTACGACTAAGACTTTTCGAAGATCTGTTGAAAGAATTTGGGTTTCCTTTTAGCCAAAAATAGGGAAAAGATTTGGGTTCATACGTACAGTAAATCAAGTGGATATGCAATGAAAGTTGAGAAATTGGATTGCATATACATAACACAACCAAAATTAAACAAATGTACAACTAAGCGAGTAGAGTATAACCTACACAATATGTATTACCGGCAATTACATCCCTATATCTATGAATGTGTACAGTTGTTTTGTTATTATTATTATTCTTTTTCATATTGCAGATATATTTTTTCTCTCTAATTGCAACTTGACTTCAATTTTCTTTTTCTTTTGGTCTACAAAAGACTAATCTAGTCCTACAGAGATTTCACATTCGAGAGTTACGTCGGAGAAAATAAATCAACATACACCATATTTGACAACAGATACCAA